ACATCTTTCCACGTCCAAGTCCGCGCTTGTCAGTTCTCCCGCCACACATTGAAAGCCAGGCGGCGGCTGCTCTTCGTCCGCATCAAGCGATTGGTTGTGGACTGAGCCAACATCACCGCTGTCATCTCCACAGTCAGCAGTCGCCGCCAGTTCCGTCTCCGCAGCATCGGTCACAGTCGCTTCCGCGACAGTCACCACGACAGTATCCGCAGATGTGTCTCCAGGAGCGTCCAACTTCACAGGCATAGCTTCAGCCTCTGCAACCCGAGTAGCCTGGGCACGCACAGCAGCACAAGTGGCGCCCAATTCCATGAACTGTTCCTTTGCATTGTCCTCAGAGACTGTAAGGTGCTGATAAGCAACATTGTGAGCGACAAGATACTTTGCTGCTGTCATATATAAATCTCGCGGAACTTCGGCCCAAGTAGCACGATCCAAGTCCTAGCATGACACACAAACGATTCGAAACAAAAAAACAAAACACAACTATTCCGTCGGCCCCGCTAGTCTTCATACAAACCTTTTCTTGTAGACATCCCCATACAGTACAAGACCCAGTCCTCCGGATCACAACCCACCAATGCAATAGAAATGCTGTCCGACAAATAACGGTGGGTCTCAATCGAAGCTGCAGGCAGTTCAGTGGATACCAATTCTCGTATCTTAGCTTGCGGAAATGCTACAGTGTTGCTTCGCATGCCCATTTGTTTTCTTGCCTTCTCCCCGGCTTGTTTTTCTCGGCAATGATTTTTTGCACCACAGCACGGCCCAAGGAAAGAAGTAAGAATGTCATAGGAGATAATTTCTTGCCTTGATTGCGAAATACGACAGGTTCACGACCAATCCACAAAGAATTGGCAAGCGCAAACTTGGGCATCTGTGGCACCTTGCGCGTCAAGCTCTGCGAGCAAGCCATGCAAACATCCACGACAGTATCGGGACCGAGCCGCGATGGAACCATCTTTGTGTTCAGCAACCATCGCCAAGCTCGGCCTGCTTTGTCTTTGCCAGTCGGATGTTCAACAGTACTAGCCAAAAGTTCGGCTAAAGGAATCAAAGGCCACAGTCTGGAGTAATGATATACATCGAAAATGTGCGAATGCAATCTTGCAACAGCTTGAAGAGATATACTAAGCACACCGTCATCTTGTTCCTTCTCCTCCTCCTCCGTTTCATCTTGATTATTCGCAGGGTCTTCCAAATTCACCTCATCCAATTCCGTCGCTCCAAGCGGCGTCACAAACAGTTTCACCGGTCGAAGGTCCTCCTTCCAGAACCCACGGGCACACACACAACATGAAGATAAGGACCGAGGCTCTGCGTGTTTGCCTCTGCAGCTATGCACTTGATGAAATGCGTGTTTGGCAATGCCCCGTTGCATCTGTTCACCTTTGACAGGAAACGGTCCTGGGCCAGGGATGCCAAAAACAGAAACAACTGCACCCCGACACACGGAGAGCCATCATATTAGTTAAGCAAATTGGAACTGGCTATTTTCAACTGGTTGCAGAAACTATTTCACTCATGCCAGTATGCGTGACATCAAAAAATGAAGATACATCACACCATCCTATCAGTTTGTCATTGAGTACCGACTTGACTATCCGCCTTCCACTTGCTCATAGAACATCATGCGCTTGCGATACTCTTCCACAACACGATGCGAAGTCCACCACTCTGCACGATTGCCTGCGCTGTCAGCAGCCACATGATGTTCTTCCAGATGTTTCACAAATTCACGTTGTGTGTTCATCTCACTGCCGCAAAGCTCACAGGCCAGCATACACGTTGCTTCTGGACCACGTTGAAAAGGCCAACGATCTCCTGAATCTGTCAACTGTGAAGCTTGGATGTATGCTTCCTTCTGCATACGGCGCTGCCAAATGCTTGGGAATGCTTCTTCCCAAGTTATCCTTTCGGCAACACGCATAGCTTTTCTGCCGGTGAGCAATGTTTTCATGCGGACCCGCCGAACTTTCTGCGCCAAGGCGTCTGAGGCGCTCTGCGGCCCTCGGACCGGCAAAGACTGCTCATTTTGCCACAACTCTTGCACTTCTTCGAAAACCTTCAAATGATGCGGCCACCACAGGAAGCACGAATGCAGTGGTAAGGCTTCCCACGCCAACATCTGGTCTTCATTGAGAGGCAACGCATAGTCAGACAGCACCCCTTTACGCTTGTTGACAACAACTCCAAAACGACGAGAGCGGACCTTGCGAATAGCTGTCACAAGTTCCGGGTCTGAACTGTGGCCACCATCTTTGTCGGGCCACCTGCTTTCAGAAACACAACTAGACGACGGTTGGCCCGAGAGCGAAAAAGCCGTTTTTCAAGCAGCTCTGAGTATGGTAGTCGTAAAAAATAGTCGGTGATAGGTTGGTGAATTTTATATGAGCTATGGAGGGGTAAGTTGTGAAAAGTAAGATTGATTAAGAAGAGGATACATGTGACAACCCATGCATATGCACTGTGCTGCTTGGTAAAGGGCATCATATGACACGTGTCTTGCAACCACAGAGAGACATAGATAGAGAGAAAGGGAGAGAGAGAGAGAGAGAGATAGAGAGAGAGAGAGAGAGGGAGAGAGAGAGAGAGAGAGAGGGAGAGAGAGAGAGAAAGAAAGAGGGAGAGAGAGAGAGAGCAGGGTCTTCTGTTGTTAGTATTGAGACACTATATTGCAAGACAATATATTAAAGATGTATTTTAGGCAGGCGAGACAAGTAGTATCAAGACAATATATTACAAGTACAAACCACTAGTTTGCATCCTATCCTTCGTATTGTTTTTCACACGCAGACGCTTTTGCACAGAAGCTGTTACACACAGACGCATTTACACACAGACGCTTTTACACACAGACGCTTTTACACACAGACGCTTTTACACACAGACGCTTTTACACACAATTTTCACACACACAGGCTTTTACACACAGAAGCTTTTACACACAAACACTTTCACACACAGAGGCTTTTACACAGAGGCTTTTACACACAGGCGCTTTTACACAAAGAAGCTTTTACACACAGACTCCTTTACACACAGACGCTTTTACACACACACAGACGCGTTTACACACAGAGGCTTTTACACACAGACGCTTTTACACACAGACACTTTTACGCGCAGACGCTTTTATACACAGGCGCTTTTACAGGCAGATGCTTTTACACGCAAAGACTTTCACAGACGCGTTTACACACAGACCCTTTTACACACAGACCCTTTTACACACAGACGATTTTACACACAACACTTTTACACACAGAGGCTTTTACACACAGAAGCTTTTACACACAGAGGCTTTTATACACAGAAGCTTTTACACACAGACACTTTTACACACAGACACTTTCACACACAGGCGCTTTTACACACAGACGCTTTTACACACAGACACTTTTACACACAGACGCTTTTACACAAAGAAGCTTTTACACGCAGGTGCTTTTACACACAGAAGCTTTTACACACAGACACTTTTACACACAAACGCTTTTACACACAGACCCTTTTACACAAAGACACTTTTACACACAGACGCTTTTACACACAGAAGCTTTTACAAACGAACATTGTTACACCACAACCACTTTCACACACAGAGGCTTTTTACCCAAAGAAGCTTTTACACACAGGCGCTTTTACACACAGATGCTTTTACACACAGACGCTTTTACACGCACACAGACGCTTTTACACCAGACGCTTTTACACACAGACGCTTTGACACACAGAAGCTTTTACACACAGACGCTTTTACACACAGACGCTTTTACACCAGACGCTTTTACACACAGACACTTTTACACACAAATGCTTTTACACTTTTACACACCGACGCTTTTAGACACAAAAGCTTTTACACACAGAAGCTTTTACACACAGACGATTTTACACAAAAACACTTTTACACACAGAAGCCTTTACACACAGAGACTTTTACACACAGACACTTTTACACACACACAGAAGCTTTTACACACCGACACTTTTGCACACAGACACTTTTGCACACAAAAGCGTTTACACACCGACGCTTTTGCAGACAGACACTTTCACACACACAGACGCTTTTACACACAGACGCCTTTACACACACAGACGCTTTTACACACAGACGCTTTTACACGCACACAGACGCTTTTACACCAGACGCTTTTACACACAGACGCTTTCACGCACAGAAGCTTTTACACACAGACGCTTTTACACACAGACGCTTTTACACAGAA